AAGGGAAGGGAAGGGAAGGGAAGGGAAGGGAAGGGAAGGGAAGGGAAATGTGCACTGTGCAGGAAGTAATTGCTTCTCAACCATTCTTGAAGCATACACATAGGAGAGGGGGGTTGACTGAAAGTTAACTTGCTGTCAAAACATGGCAGTTTTCCCTATCACTTAACCATGTGGTCTGACTCCCTGTCCCCAACATTTCTATGCAATCCAATGGCTTCTGAGTAAGAAATAATCTATTAACTCTCCAGCAAGGGCTGGATGCCAGCTCCCTCTCTGACAGGAAAATCTGTGGGAGCAGATTCCTGACCTACTTTGATGTGGGCACAGAGAGAGGGCTCAGCCTCTTTGAAAATTCAAATCCCTCTTCTCTCTGGAGAGAAAATGTGGGTGCTGCTGCCCACTGTGTCATCCTGAAGTTTTCAGCCTCTTAGAGCCCTTGCTTCCCAGGGAAAAGAGGGAGGAAGTAAAAGTGTTATGTGTCTGGGACTGTGTGGAGGCAGAGTACATCTCAGATGTGCAGGGCCCTGGGGCTCCATCCTCATCTCCACAAAATATAAAATAAAATAGACTAAAGCAAAACAAAATTTTAAAAATGTGGGGGTTTGGAGGAGAAACAGAGAAAGAGAGAGGAGGGAGGGAGGGAGGGACGGAGGAAGGAAGGAAGGAAGGAAGGAAGGAAGGAAGGAAGGAAGGGAGGGACAGTGGCAGATTGGGCCACATGGAGTCAGGTGGATAGAAAGGAAGGAAGGAAAGAAGGAAGGAAGGAAGGAAGGAAGGAAGGAAGGATGGAAGGAAGGGAGGGAGGAAGGAAGGAAGGAAGGAAGGGACTGAAGTGTGGAGGGGGACTCACTGGGAGAAGAAAGAGGTTGGCAGGAGGGGGAATCCCAGAAGACAGGTCAATTTAGTCACTGTGCACTGTATATAAGTATGATATTGTCAAAAATTATTAATTACATTAAAATGTAAAGTGGGGGAGCATTTAAGTCTTGCTGCTTTTTTTTCCTTTTGTTCTGTCAGCAAAGGAAACATATGTAACATTTTTCATCCTTCAGAGGAACAGAGTGTAACCTACATCTCTATCTACCCTGTCAGCTTTGAATCCTTTGATATATCTCAGGGAGGCCTCAAACTTGCTATGTAGCTGAGGATGACCTTGAATTCTTCCCCCTGCCTTCACCTCCCCCGGGCTGGGATTATAGGTATGTGCCACCATGCCGGGGTTTTTTTATTGCATTTTTTAAATATTTTATTAATTATCTTTTTTTGGTCTTTTGGAGACAGGGTCTCCCTGTACTCCCAGCTAGCCTAAAACTCACTATATAGACCAGGCTGGCCTCGAACTCATAATGATATTATTTTTTATTTTTTGTGTATGAGTGTATTGCCTGCAGGTATGTAAGTGCACCCATGTCATGTAATGCCCAAGGAGGTCAGAAGAGGCCACGAGACCCCCTGGAACTGTAGTTATAGACATTTGTTAGCAACCATGTGAGTGCTGGGAACCAAACCCAGGTCCTCTACAAGAGCAGCCAGTGCTCTTAACTGCTGAGCCACCTCTCCAGCCCCTTTTTATTACGTTTATTTGGGGGACGGCATATGTGCCCCAATGTATGTGTGAAGGTCAGTGGACAACTTACAGGAGTCAGTTCTCTCCTTTTATTA